AGTTGACATTCTCCAGAGCAAGCAACACTGATCTGGAGTCGGTGATGATGTTGGAGGATGGTAGGCTTTCAGCAATGCTGTAGTCAATGGCCTTATCAATGGCTGTTAATTCAGCCATGTAGACCATTGCCTGGTCATTTAGTCGAAAGCATTGATGGTAAGTTTCGACGTTGTTCTTATAAGCTACGAAAGCTCCTCCGACTCTGTTGTTCATTTTAGAACCATCCGTGTAGATCAGTGTGCCCTGAAGGTTGTCCTTATAGTGGCTCCAGTGGAAGGATGTTTTGTTCCACGGAGGTAGTATCGGCTTCAGGAATGTAATGGAACCTGGATGGAAGGCAAGACCTTGGGTTTGGATTTCCTTGTACTGGTTCTTAATTTGGAACATCTTGTGGGTGTGCTTTGTTTGGATATCTATTGGAGGTACCCCCGCCAATACTTGTAGGGCGTCTGTGGAGACAGTTTTGTAGCATTTAGTAATGTTTAATAGTCCCGACCTTTGCAGTTGGTTGAGTTTAATATCTTGTTTAACTCTACCTTGGTACCATATCTCATGACCATAGTGGATGATTCTGTTAATTACTTTATTGTAGATGTCTTTCTTGACTGTTGGATTAAGGCCCCAGGTGGCTCTTGTAATTCTGTACAGTTTCTGTTGTAGGCTGTTTAATTTGTCTTGTATGGTGTTAAGGTGGAACACCCAGTTCAATTTTGGGTCAAAGTGGAGTCCTAGGTATTTAAGATGCTGTGTGTACTTGATTTTGTTGGCTCCTATTTTAATTGCTGGAATGTGAGAATGTTTCTTAGAGAGGATGGTGAAGGAGCTTTTCGAATGGTTGTGAGATTGTCAATGGTCCAGTTCTCTATTGTAGAAAGTGCCTTCTTGCTGTCTCGAGTGAAACAATAAGAGGCAGGTGCATTTATCATAAGTAGGACGTCATCTGCAAAGGCCTGAAAATTGATGTTAGGGCCAAAATCTTTGAGGACCAGATCATTGATGAAGACATTCCAAAGAATGGGGCCTAAGCTCGACCCTTGTGGAATGCCCTTGTTGTATTTTTTATTGTTTCCTTGGTAGGTTACAGTTCTGTCATTGAGGAAATGAAGAAGAAATGTATAAGATTCTATGTTCACAAAGGACTGTTAAAAGTCATAGTTCTCGAAACTGACAAAAATGGGTCAGACTTACCCTGAATCAGTTGTCACAATTCTCGATTATGAAAACAACAATTAATAAAATTTACTGTAATGTATATTGTAATCCATGTGAGTTAATAAATAATCGATTTCCAACGAACTAGGTTTCTTTGAAATAGGATGGTTTTAGATTTACATTCAAACACAATACTGTCGGATTAAAATAACAAGCGAACTTTAACCGAGCGATATATCATTCTTAATACAAATGGTGTTCTGAAGCGGTGAAGGTTCACCTGCTTGCGCGTATTCGGGGATCGCTTTAAAATGATAATGAATATGCGAAGTACACTCATGTCCATAAATTAAGGATAATGAAGTTCAAGCAAAGAAAGAGACAGAAGCAAAACAAATTTGACTTATTTGTAAAGTCTATTTATTAAACAAAAGGTAAAGAGCAAAAAAAAGATGCTATATGTTTGACATAATTAATAAAAATTGCGATTTTTACCCTGGAGCAAATTTCAAAAAAAAGAACCTATTTACAAAAAACAGTATAACAGGGTTAGTATGATGGTTAATATGGAGTATGTCTCCCGGACGATGCAATACAGGCCTTACAACGCCTAGGCATGCTGAATATCAAATTATCAATCTGATCTTGAACGCCGCAGGAGTGCCACTGGCCTTCCCGAATTAACGGAATTTCAGTGTTGGTTGCACAACTACGGAAAGGAGGATTGAATAACCACTCTGGTAACGCAAGCAGCCCTTTGGCTGAGTTCACTGTTGCTAATCAGTGATAATCACTGGGTCCGTTCCGCTTTGAGAGTTGTCTGGTGCATATCAACACGCCAGAACGGCTCTCAATCGTGAGGAGTTCTAGGAACTCTTGCTTTAGGCCTTTTTGAGTGATTTATGGTGAATAGCATGTATTCCATGCTTTCCGCCAGCAACCGCTCTACTAAAACTACTTAAAAAAATCTAATATATATTAAAAGGAAAATTAAAAAGGAATTTAGACAACTTGACAAAAGAATAACAGTTATATACATATGTACAGAATTGTTGACACAAGGTTCTTAGTGATATGAACTATGAATAGTAAATAGATAAACATAAACTGTTAAGGAATATGGTTACATCACAATATTATTGACATGTTTATAGTTTTTATTGTGTGATATAGTCTATATTTTGCGTTACAAAGTCCATAACCTTGATAATTTTTTCTTTTATTTTTTTTGGAGATTGCTGCTTTTTTTGCCCAGGCTTCATATGTTTCTGGGTTTGGTTGTAGTGCATGATTTGAGACTGTTAGAGAGCAAGAGAATAGATAATGATCCGGTGTGCCTATTTCGCCACAAATGCAATTGTCCGTATCTTTAATGTTAAACCTGTATAGGTATGCTGGAAAGGGACCATGACCCGTAACAAAGTAATTTATATTTGTGTTTGTTGACATTTTTGTGGACACTGTTGGGAGAAAGTGATGAGTTCTTCTTCCTGTGATCCCATTGCCCCATTCTTCTTGCCATATCTTGAGGCTGTTGGTTTTTAGTTCTCGTTTTAGTAGGTTTGTTGGTTTTTTTATTTTCGATTGATGTGTACTTCTCATTGTTGCTTCTTTGGCTAGAGAGTCGGCGCGTTCATTACCTTTGTTACCTGCGTGTGCTTTAATCCATAGTAGGCTTATTGATTTGTTGTTGATTGTGTTTAGTATGTTTCTGAGATCTTGAACCTGGCTATTTGTATTGAAAAATCTGTTGATGGCTATTATGGATGATAGGCTGTCCGTAAAGATGATCAATCTGATCTTGGGGAATATTACACCACTCATCAAGCAATGCCCTCCGAAGTTCCGGTTGACAGGTGGGAGGGGGTTGACAGGATACATTCGTCGGCCTGCATATTCCACACATGCTCTATTGGATTCAAGTCCGGTGAGTATGCTGGCCAATCCATACGGGTGATATCCTCCAATTGAAGGCATTCGTCTACAATGTTTGCACGGTGAGGACGGAAGTTGTCATCCATAAACAGAAATTCAGCAGCCATGGCGCCCTGAAACAAACGTACATGTTGTTCCAGAATGACATCCCGATAGATGTGGCCTGTCATCGTTATACTCTGAACATGCAGGTCAGTTCTGGAACCAAGAAAAATTCCTCCCCAAACGAGCCATCCTGCACCACCGTAACGGTGTCCTTCAATAGTGTTCTCTTGGTGGTAACGGGTACCTGGCGCTCTCCATATGAATGTCCGGCGAGAATCAGACTGCAAACTAAACCTGGACTCGTCGGAAAACATCACACAAGACCACTGTTGCGGTGTCCACAATGAATGCTCTCTACTCCAGGTTAATCGCAGGGGACAGTGAGTTGCGGTAAGTGGAACACATCTGACAGGCCTACGAGCATATAGACCAATGTGCCCTAAGCGTCTGTACACGGTCTGCCTTGAAACTATCGTACCGGTAGCTGAAGAGAGCTGACGAGACAGCTCTGATGCTGTGCTCCGTCTGTTTCTTTTGGCAGTAACTGCTAAATACCGGTCCTCATTCGGCGTTGTAACTCGGGGGCGACCTGTGCTGTAAAATCTACTCCCATTACCATCATCTTGGAATCGTTGCCAAAGCCTGGAGATGACACTCTGGGTGATTCCAAGTTCCTCGGATACTTAGCTGGGTACGTCCCCATTCCAGTCGTCCGATAATTCTACCACGTAAAAAAAATCATCCAAATGCTTCCTTTTTGCCAAAACTATGCGGTTATTGCACTGAAAGGCTTTTTTAAAGCGCTTGTGAACAATTTTACTTTGCCACCATTCCTTATATACCCCTCTCTTACACTCGTCATTGTGACGTACCATCCGTGCCATATGGTGGTTTCCTGTAATTTGCATATTCTTCTTCAAGATGTGTGTGATAATTCTACAGGTGAAATTTTTATTTTAGAGTTCAATTTCTGTGTGATTCTGAATTATCCTTAATTTATGGACATGAGTGTATATTTTGATATGAGGGCCTGATGGCCGAGTGTCTAGCGTTCGGTGCCACAGGTTTCGGGTTCGAGTCCCGGCGATGCCCATGGATGTTTGTAGTGGTTCGGAATCCACGTAAAGCCGTAGGTCTCAGTCTCCTATGACTGTAAGAGCCGAAGTCAGACTTCTACCTACGGGTGCTCCCTCACAACAAAAAGTGCTTCCTTCCCCTTCAATCATAAGTACGTGTGGGCTTAGCCAGCCAAGTGGGATAAGAAACAACAACAACATATTTTGAACTGCATGCATATTGCGATGCGCTGTGCATTTCGACGTCTGCGGAGTCTCTCTAATTCATGGCAGCAATTGGCAAGGGTTTCGTTCTGAGTGATTAATGCACTAATTAAGAATCTACTTTCGCACATCTTTAATCGGGATTTAGTTGGACATTTTAGTGCTATTTTTGTTTATTAAATATGTTGTACATATTTTTATAAATTATTCAATCTTCCTTTAAGTTTAAAAAAAATCTTAAATAGATTAAAGTGAATAAGATATATAAAATTTAGAGATTTCAAAATTCCAAAATTTAAAAAAAAAAAGAAAGATGCATTTTAATTATAACATAAATTCTAAATTTCTTTTTATGAATTGCCCTAAATGGATGATTTATGGAGCAAATCGACACATTTTGACTATACAATCTTTCACTCTGATATTATTATTAAAATTTTTATTTTTTTTTTCCTAATGCAGCTGGCAAATAGACCGTGATCTTTTTATGCCATAAGGGCTGCACCAACGTTACTCACTTTGCACTACCCAAGGGGCGCGTCCAACTTGAAGGTAAGCCGCGGACGTGGAGTCACAATGGGGACCTAAGGTTTAAAGTGGATTCCGAACCACTACAAACATCCATGGCACCGCCGGGATTTGAAACCGATACCTGTGCCACTCGGCCATCAGGCCGCATTAAAATTCCTATAAAAAGAGGAAAAATAAAACTTTAAAAATAAAGAAAAATTTGTAAACAATTTAGCATATATACATAAAATACTCCAAAATGTTTAAAAATTTTTACGTTAAAAAGATTTATTTTTTTATATTTATAAATGTATGTGTTTATATTTATATATACATATAGGTTTTTTTAATATTATATATATATATATATATATACATTTGTATGTATATATGTGTATGTATATATGTGTATGTATGTATGTGTATATATTATTAATATTTTTATACCTTAAATGTTTAAGCTTTATAAATTAGATAATTGACCAGAATGAAGTAATTGGTACCATATGAGGTTAAAACAAAATATTGTTATAACTTTTAATTGGCATTTTTTAAAATATAAAATGGATAAAATTTAATAATTTTTTTAACATTCTTTGTCATAAATTTAGTTATTATTTGTCTATAAAATATCTATCTACAAAGAATGTAGGACTGTATAAACATCGTAAAAGAAAAAGTGTATTAAATCTAAACATAAAATATTCGGCATTATATATATATATAACCATATGCAATTTCAATAATTAATGCTTAATATATACACTTCAATACAAATTTTTAAAATTATTTTAATATTCAATATATTATTGTTGATTTATATAACTTTACATTTAAATGGAATGTTACCACACTAATGTTAAATTTCAATAATTTAAATTAACATATATATGTCTTTGATTCTAACTAACTCCATTTCCTTCTCCTAATAATAATACTGAAATCTATCAACTACTATTCATTTTTAAATAATTCGCTCAATTCTTCTCCTCAGGCGGCATCCAAACCATGTTCAATAACCTTCAAGCTAATGTCTGCTCTCTAATAGCAGAAGATAAATTATTCGTACCAAAGAAGACAAAAGAAGATAAATTATTCGTCATTCTACAAGGATTTTCCCCTTTCCTTAACAAATCTAATTAATGTCTTCTCTCTTCACTGGACAGTTACTCGTTCATTTTATTTCTCTCCCATGTATTTCAATTACTTTCCTCACTTATTATTATAATAATATTAATTTAAAAAAAAAAACCTCACTCTATTAAACTTTTTTTTTCATTTCTAATGCAGCTGGCAAACAGACAGCTTGGTCTTGGATGCCTTAAGGCAAGCGCTGCACAGTCGTTACTCACATTGCATTACCCAGGGGGTGCGTGTAGCTTGAAGATAAGCCATGGATGTGGAGTAACAATGCCCCTGCATTGCTCAACGATCCTATTAGACCGAGACCTACGGTTTAGAGCGGGTTCTGAACCATTCCAAACATACATGGCCCCGACGGGACTCGAAATCGAAACCTGTGGTACCGAGAGCCAGAGCACTAGCCACTCGGCCATCAGGCCCCTGAAATGATGTGATGGATTGGTTATACAATTTAAGTATAGATAATTGTTGTTTTTCTTCAAATGCAGCTGGCAATTAGATCGTGATCTTTTTATGCCGTAAGGGCTGCACAGACGTTACTCACTTCGCACTACCCAGGGGGCGCGTGTCACTTAAAGATAAGCCACTGCCCCTGCAACGC